AGGCGGCAAGGCGAAGAAGGCGGCGGCGGCGGCGGGCAAGGTGAAGAAGGCCGCCAAGCCCAGCGTCCCCAAAGTGCCGAAGGGCCGCAAGTGAGCGCGCCGGTCTGCCGGGCGGGCGGGTGTTCGGTTTTTGTATCCCGAGTGTATGTAGTTTTATACGGTTCCCTGGCCCAGGCCTTCGCGCCCGCTGAGCGCAGCGAGGGGCCCAGGGCCCCTCCGTCCCTCCCATCCCCCGCCCATCGTGGTAGTGTGTTGTTTTTTTGTTTATTTGCTTTGGATTTTGAAACGGCCCTGGCGTCGCCCCCATTGGCTCCTCGCCCTTGGCAACGGCTGTCGCTATGGTTACCCGCTCGCAGGCGCCACTGGCCGGAGCCACCGTGCCGCCCTTCTGTCTCCCCACTCTTCCCGCCTTTCGGTGCGCGACAAACAATCGCGCGGTACTGCGTGGCGCTTCCCTCCATCCCGTCAGCATTTGGGGGCACAATAAATTGTTTAAACCTTTGCACCGCTCTCCTTTTCTTCTGAGTGGAACAGGGATGGGCGCGGTCGGCACTCTTGTGGGATGATGGGCCCCAGGGGACCACAGCTCGGAAGATGCTGGAGGTGGTCTGGTCAGGTCCGGATAAGGGGCCCTCGGCCTTGGGATGGGGCGGAGGGGCGGTGCTTTTTCAGGGTTTTCTGGTAAGAGCTCCTCGGCTCTTACTAGGGCACACCAGGGTTGGGCTTTTATGGAGGTAAATTATTCTGAATTCTGGGTGACTTAGTGCGGATGTGAAATTAATAGTGGAGGCCCTGGGCTCTGGCTTGCCACCCACATCCGGAGGTGCAGCCTGAGCAAGGCACTGATTGGTCCTGTTTGTTGGCTACTTGAGTGCAGACTGGATGGGAGGGTTACTGGGCACATTGGGACCCTTAGCCCGGAGACGCTCCGGTGTCCAGCATATGGATAGTTGTCCCTCTAGTTGGGCAGCAGGCTGAGTCGTATTCTGACATGTTTCTATAAAAAGACAATCTTAAAACCAGGGATGCTCTAGAACAGTGGGTAGTAGTACATGTACCAGATTGGGCGGGGCTGGGGTTAAGGGAGAGAGATGCAGGGGATCTTTTGATCCCTATGTAGACTGTAGATGGTAGGGGGAAGGGCAATAGATTGGGGGGAGGGGATACCACTGGAGAAGGGCCTCTGGCCTGCTGATCCCCCTGACCCTGGCATGCCAGCCAGAGTGCAAGATGGGGTCCTGACCTGAGTGTGACTGGTGGCTGCAGGAAGCACTGTCATTAGGGCAGAGACGAAAATGTGATGCTAGACTTGTTGGGGGCTAGTTCTGGGGAACTGGGCATCCAGGAAACAGACAGGAGGCCTCAGTTGGAGACTGGACCAGTAGCGGGCCAGGGCTGACAGCTCCACTGACCCTGCCAGCCCATGTCCTGGCCACTTGCTGATCAGGAACAACATCTACTTTGCAGTTGATTGGGGGGCAATGTTCCCCATGCCCTGCTGAGTTATTGTGCTAGCCTAGGTCCTGCCCCATACTTGCCTGCTGGGCCAGTGAGTGGAATAGCAGCTAGAGGCCAAGAGAAGCCCCAATTTACCCAGGATTCTGGGGCATGGTGCTCCTGATCAGTTAAATGTGATTCCCTCAGATTCTACTGTACTTCCCTAAATCAAAAACCCAGCCTAAATGCCTCCTAGACTCACCCCAATTGTCCTTATTGGAATTTGGGGCTGGGGCCTGGAACTTTGCTTTCTGACCAGGTTCCAGGTGGCTTTGAGATTCAGAGGGTTGGGAAGGGCTACTGCAGGGGCCCTGGCACTTGCATAGCATACTGCTGCTTCCTGCCCAGCAGTTGACACTGAGGTTCACCCCCTCTTGGAGCCCTCCCTAACCAAAGCCCCCCACCCTGCTGACTATCAGTCCTTGGAGGACATCCCCTGAGCACCTAGCACCCCCCAAATACCCATCAGGTCATCCTTATTCCGTGCTGCCTTTCCATATTTCTGACCAAAATTCTTCCTTTACTGCTCACACCTCCTGGTCTCCCAGTGGCCTCCCTCTTTGACTCTGTGGTACTCGTCTCTCTAGTCTCCATCTCTGTTCCTTGATGACTTGGGCCCCTAGCTTGCTGTCTGCTCCACCCTAAGGGCTGCTTCCTTCAGGAGCATCCAGTAGACCAGCCCTTGGTGCAGGCCTCCTACTTTTCTGGAAAAACAAAAACAAAACAACTTTAATTTTCCTCTCAGGACTCAAACCAGCCTACTCTCAGGCCATATGGTTCTGGGAGCCTTATCCCTTCAGTCCTAGGGATGGTTGCATGGCCCAAAGATAGAGCAAATGGGGGTTGAGTCAGTTGTTCACTTCATCACAATGATTGGGTCAGAAGTAGGTTTACCCCATGGGTTCACTGAGAGTCAATGTTCTCTTCCCCAGAATCACCAAGGATAGGGACATGGGGCTAGAATTGCCAGTGGCCGTCTCTGTCAACACATAGGAAGAGCCTACCTGAAAAAGGAGCCAAGACAGAGAACGTAGGAACCAAAAAATGGAGAGGCAGACGCATGAGGATTTGAATGGAGCCTGTACCACGAAAAGCAAGCTAGTTCTAACCGAGTTTCTGTCATTTGAGATCTGGTCTCCCCTTTTTCTCACTTGACCCTCCCATGATCACATGCTGGTCCTTATTCCTTCAAATTGCTCTTCCCCCAAAACCACTCCTCGGTGTCCCACTCTATCCACAGGCCTCTCCTCTCTGCAGCTTGCTCACTTAGGTCCTTCAGCTGAGCTGCACCTCTGTGGGTGGACCCCACATCTCTGACATGCATCCTAAGTTGAAGGATGAATGGCCGTAATCAGCCCCAGGTGAACACTCAGTGTGTACCAGGCACTCTGAGGAAAGCAGTACAGGTCTCAGGTTAGCCTCACGACAGCCCCAGTAAGAAGGTGTTTAAAAAAACTCACTGGTGTGGGTGCTGAGACTGGGAGGTTTATTTTCTGCCCTGACACCATACTCAGCTCCTGTGTGGAGCTGGGGAGTTGAGGATAGACGCACCATTTACCTACTGTGTCTCTTGGACTTGGCTTCAGGGAGCTTCAGTTCCAGATGAACATTGAAGGCACCTAACACTGCAAGGCCCAGGAGGAGGTGACTCCAGTACAGTGAGGAGGCAAAGGACAACGTATGTAGCAATGGCTCAGGCCATGGCACCTCTCAGCATCCACTGATCAGGAGGGGGATTGAGTGGGACCAGGTCCTGGAGGCTGAGGTCGAGTGTTCTGGGTCTGGCTCCACTATGGTCTTTTGGTCTAGGGCAAGATTGTCCTCCCCAAGCTTCAGTTTCTTCATCTATAAGTGGAGCCAAGAAAGATTTCTTTTACTCAACTGCCAACCAAGGAGGGTCTGAACACACTGCCTCTGGCCAGGGTCTCCAAGGTTTTCCATTCCTTGTATGCCCCTGGGTGTATTGCTCTCTCTTCCTGCTACCTTGCCTCCCTGTGAACATCCTAAGGATATCAATCAGGTCTACCTTCTGGGTCCCTAGTTCCAACTTTCTGGCCCCAGGACAGCCCTACCAGCACTCGAAAGGCCCCTTTCCAGGCTGTGCAGCCTTAGCAATCCACCCAATTGATTCCCGTGGACTGACCTAGCTGTCCTTCTACCATGGCAGGGCTTACTGCTGAGCACATGACCTGTAGGGAAGTCTGAACACTCAGCACAGGGGTACTTGTGTCTCAGGCATCAGATCTGGGATGGCCAGAGACAGCTCATGAGGCCATTTGCATTTGCAAAATAAAAGACATTGACACACACGTACTGGGAGAACAGATTGCAATCTTTTTTTTTTTTTTTATTGCTTAAAGTATTACAAAGGGTATTACATATGTGTCTTTTTTTCCCCCGCCCTTGACAATCCCCTGGCCTCCCCTACCCCCCAGTGTCTTATGTCCATTGGTTATGCTTATATGCATGCATACAAGTCCTTCGGTTGATCTCTTACCCCCCTCCCTCCTATGTGTCCTTTTTTATCTCCGCCCTTGACAATCCCCTGGCCTCCCCTACCCCCCAGTGTCTTATGTCCATTGGTTTTGCTTATATGCATGCATACAAGTCCTTCGGTTGATCTCTTACTCCCCTCCCTTCTGCCCCCCAACCCTCTCTGGCCTTCCCACTGCAGTTTGACAATCAGTTTGAGGCAGCTCTGCCTCTGTATCTATTATTGTTCAAAAGTTTGTAATGGTCTTTATTATCCATGAATGAGTGAGATCATGTGGTATTTTTCCTTCATTGACTGGCTTATTTCACTTAGCATAATGCTCTCCAGTTCCATCCATGCTGTTGCAAATGGTAAGAGTTCCTTCTTTTTTACAGCAGCATAGTATTCCATCGTGTAGATGTACCACAGTTTTCTAATCCATTCATCTACTGATGGGCACTTAGGCTGTTTCCAGATCTTAGCTATGGTGAATTGTGCTGCTATGAACATAGGGGTGCATATATCCTTTCTGATTGGTGTTTTTGGTTTCTTGGGATATATTCCTAGAAGTGGGATCACAGGGTCAAATGGGAGTTCCATGTTTTGTTTTTTGAGGAAACTCCATACTGTCTTCCATAGTGGCTGCACCAGTCTGCATTCCCACCAGCAGTGCACGAGTGTTCCTTTTTCTCCACATCCTCTCCAGCACTTGTCGTTTGTTGATTTGTTGATGATAGCCATTCTGACAGGTGTGAGATGGTACCTCATTGTTGTTTTGATTTGCATCTCTCGGATGATTAGTGACTTTGAGCATGTTTTCATATGTCTCTTGGCTTTCTGAATGTCCTCTTTTGAAAGGTGTCTATTTAGGTCCTTTGCCCATTTTTTGATTGGATTGTTTATCCAGATTACAATCTTTTATATCAAGGGCCTAGTCCACAGTCATTAATGCAGAACATGCTGAGCTGAGGCAGGGATAGAGATCTATCAGACCTGCTCCCTGATCTGAAGGAGCTCAGCCACATGCAGGAGGAGGACAGATAAACCAGCAACTTCCAGGCAGGGACATTGCAGGCAGTAGTAGCACTAGCACAGGCCCCCAGGTACGGAAAAAGCCCCTGAGTTTGGGGAACGATGAAAGCAGTGAGCTGACTGACAGATCATGAGGCAGGAATAGTGAGTAGTGGGACTTCAGGTTCCCTATCAGTCAGAGTTCAATGGAGAAGCAGAACCAGAAGGGATGCACGCCTTTTTCGTATTTGATCTGCCACCAGGAATTGGCCTGCACACTGTGGGACTGATTAAGCAATGTCTGTAAGGCTAAATCTCTGTGACTGATGCTGGAACTTGAGGTGCTCAGTCAGAAGGGGAAGATCATGAGCGGCTGAAAGCCACTCGCACAAGCTGGGGCCCTAGGATGGACCATGCCTGTGTCCATTATTGCCGCTTCTGACTTTGGTGATGAGGGGATCCTGCAGAAGCTGAGTGAGGCCCTTCTTCATACAGAGCTAACTAGCCATGCACACAACTGA